CGATTATCGACGTTAGCTTTTGGACGGACTTTATGACATTCATTATAGACTTTTAGCAAAAATTAGTAAAATTTACTATTTTTTCCCTAATAAAGTAAAAAGTTCAGAACTTCTGGAAAAATAGAAAATCGTCATTTATCAGCTTGAAACATGGATTTTCCATTGCCCAGACTTCCAAAATATCTCCCAATAACCATTGAACAACCAGTTGAATTGCCCAAGCCTAAAAAATTTACTGTCCATGATTTTCTTGAAGAGAAAAACGAGCGACCTGAGAAAAGAGCACTTTTATGTGATAAAAACTGGCTATTTGATTTGGCATTTTTAGTTGATGTTACTAGCCATCTCAATGATCTAAATTTGAGACTGCAAGGCAAAAGTAAACTATTTCCAAGCTTAGTAAATGACATTATCGCATTCAAGATGAAGTTGAAACTTTTCGTTTCCCAGTTGGAAAAAGAGGATTTGTCCCAATTTCCTCACATAAAAGAACACCGTGAATGTGCTGCTGGTAATGGCAATTTGGCAATATACACAGAAAAAATCAAGTTATTGCAAGTAATTTGAAAGTCGTTTTCATGATATTTCAAAAGAAGAAGACTCTATACTTGCTTTCATAAACCCATTTTCACTTAGTGAACTAACCATATTGAAGATGCCAAGCAATATACAATTGGAACTAATTGACTTGAAAACTCATCCATCATTGAAAATTAAATTTGATGAGCTTTCTTCAGTCCCAAGTGCATCTGACATGATCAAGTTCTGGCAATCGTTACCCCGTGAAAATTTTCCAGAACTGAGAAAATTTGCCCAGGGTTTTATATGTCGTTTCGGAACGACATATAGATGTGAACAAACATTTTCTGCCATGAAACTAATTAAAAGCAAAGCGAGGTCAAGACAGATTTAAATTTGAAGAATGCACTGCTCCTCTCAGTAACAAACTTAACTCCAAGAATAAGAAAAAATGGCGAAAGTAAAACAGCAGCAAAAGTCTCATAAAGGCGGTACTTGAATAAAATTGATCAGTTTTATTTATTATACTTCCTTGCTTAATTTCTATTCATGTGAAGTTGTAAATTGTAAAAACTACATATACGTGTGTATATATGTGTGTGTATTATAAATTTATATAATTTCAACAAGAAACGGACATTAGGCGTGGGAATACAAGAGATTTAAGGCGCATCTGAAACATTATGTTTAAAACGTGGCGCATGGTATGCGAAAGGTTGGCCACCCCTGATTTAAACGCTTTTTGTCCTTCCATGACATATGGCTACAAAATATATATATTATGACGTAACAAATGATTAAGCACGAGAATAGCGCAGTATTCATTTGGCTAATTCTTACGTAATAAAGTTCGTCTGTGCCACTATTTTTCGTCATTTTTGCTTGATTTATGAAGTTGCACAGCTCATGTTGGTTATAGCTACTTGCTAACTCACTGTTATAAATTGATTTCGAAAAAAAAATATAAGCGATTAGGGAAGGGAATACAAGAGAGAAGTGCAGAAAACCAACAATTGCGTGATTGGTATGCCATTTCCGAAATTTTTTCGTGTCTCAAAATCTTTGCAAATACACTTCTCTCCATGTTTTATCTACATATGGTTGTGAATCTCTGTTCTCAGTTATGAACTTTATTAAGTCTCGTAACAGAAGTAGCCTGAAAGATGAAACCAGTGGTTCGTGTATTTCTTTGAAAGTTACAAAACATATCCCCAATGTAAAATCTCTATCAGCTGTAATGCTGCAGCAGAAGTCTCACTGATATAGAATAAGAAAAGTAATCAAGTCTATGTGTCGGACTAATATTTTCCCGAATAGTGAATCTGTCTGTACATATTTAAAAGGTTTATTATTGTGTATTTTTGCTTTAAAAGTAGCAAAGCATTGTTATTACTTTTGGTCGGCACGCGGAAGAATTTTGTCCTTAAATTTAGGCGATTTTGGCACGCGAGCCAAAAAAGGTTGTCCACCCCTGCCATAAGCTAACCTTGGATATCGCTGCTCGATAACCAGATTTAGTTCCCAACGGTTTTCCTATCCCAGTAAAATTGTGTAATTACTTTCTTTCTTGTAATTTGTGTAAAATTGATTTTTTTGTAAATAGAATTTGGAATTGTTGGAAAAATAAACTTGAGTTGACTTACAGTTCTAACACAAGTGAGCTCTTATGACGCTTTTGGACCGTTTGAATCGAAATAATTGGGTCAACCGTACTATAGTACTTGCGGTACTACACTTCACAAAATCCACGATATCACGCATAATCAATATGAAACTAAGTTTTGATGAAAAAACTCGACATAAGTACGGAAACACTGCAACCGTCATAAAGTCATCGTATAAACTTGCGATAAGATTGTCTAAGTAAGCCAACTGAACTCTTATGTTGTTCTGTAACTGTTAAATTCAAAAGATTTAACACTCATACATTATTTCTGTATCCTGCCAGTCAGTGCCAGTACGTGATCCCAATTTACCATATTAACAGAATACCATAGTGTATTTATTCATAAGTAAATATTGCATGCATATTGCTTGCAAAACTCTTTGTGAGTATATTTAGACACAGTCATCAAACTAAAATTTAATCCTCAAACCACAACACTGACGCACGAACAACCAGAATGAGTGACCAATCGCTATATATCGTGAAACACGAGAAACGAGATCACCAATTGGTTGAATAAAATCAAAATCTGGATAGTAGGGTTGTCGTCATTCTACGAAAATGGTTTGATCAAATTTTCAATATATACAATAAGGTGTATTTACTTTGTTTATTAAGTGGCGAGGCAGGAAAGACCGGAAATTATTCAGTAAGTATTAATTCTATTGAGGGATTGAAACTCGAGAAAAATTACTCCGAGCTGTCAATCATTTGAAAAATTGCAGATTAGGGATGGTGCAGATTGTTGGCTAAATATAGAGACTACCATTAATCTATTTATTCTATTGTTTCTTGATAATTGAAGTTTATTGCAATTATCTTTTGTAATAAGAAAAATGTAACTTGTAAGTCGTCCATTCATCTTGATATACCAATAAAACATGATATATCATGTATCTTTATATCCGGACCAAAATAAATTCTCGTTTTTTATCGTATCGACGACGTTCTGACAAACTTCCATTTAATTTATCATAATAATATAACTTTAATTGCATTGCATATTTATTGAATGTGTAGTATAATATATTGTGCAGGAATGCACATAGAAGCATATGTATATGCAACTCATATTTCCTCTTACACTATCCTCATTGGTACTGCTTATTGCGTTGACATCATTTACAAAAAGTTATAGCATGAGTAGTCGTATAAGTAAAAAGTCAATACAGTTTATGAACGTTTTGACTTATATTTGCGATAATTTACAGAACCATGTATTACGAAAGTTTGCTGCAGTCTCCCATTTTTGCAAGATTCATATCTCGGCGATCGGAAGTCGCAGAGAAATTACGGGGTCGTGTATAAGCCGTGCCATCAGTTTTTATTATCCCGAACTCCGATGGTGGCCTACAGATAAACAATATGGTACATTACTTTACCGAAGATTACTTTACCGTGGTCTTGAAAACCTACATTGGATGGTTTAGAGATTTGAATGCTTATGATAGAATCAGGCATGCCGGAATCAATTGAATCGTTCCTTATATGTTAAAATTTTTTGTCCCAACGAATCATTTCAGTGACGTTCTTAATGATCATTGCTTCAACTATATGCGGAAATGCGTAAGATGAATTTCTTAGACCTACGCATTGACCTTCCGGAAAACCTCAATAGCACCATGTGCACTGATAGCATTTTATGATGAACTATATACATCCATGTATCTATAACATTAGACTCGTTTCAGATCTATAACAAAGAAAAGAGTAGGAGGTATTTGTGATATATTCATCACTTGTTTGTTTTACAATGATGCTGGTCTTGCCTCCTTACACAATCATTGACTAAATCGCGTTCATTGTCAAGAAAATCTAAAAAAATGATTCAATTTTCGTGTCTATAAATTGCTAGAATCCGTTACTTCTATTGGCTAACGTTTTAACTTTACATTCAATTTATTGATTCAACAGGGAGTCAGTATTGGTGTGATGTTTTGGTAATACCATCACGACTTGACAAATGCAAAATATAATTTATTACATTTAAAAGTAAGATATAAAATGTGGTTTGTATTGTTTTGGATTTCATTGTTCAGCTCCACCGAAGGACAAACAACAACCCCAACCCCGAAAAGTAAGTATATATATACGTTCTATTTTTTATGATCTGTACATGTAATTACATCTTCAATGTTCGCATTATACTCGGTGATGGACGGATATTTCATTTTTGTTGCAATATATGTCTTGGTACTTGTATTTTGATCGGTTATTATATCACATTAGGGAATACTGAAAGTTGTGGGTCCTTGTGACAAAAGTAGTTATAGTGAACAATTATTTTTATTTTAAATGTATACAGTTCACAGTGACTTGATATTTTCCTTTTTACTTATCGATTTTAATCGGTAAGTATGTTGATAGGTATTTGTCTGCCTGTCTGTTTGTCTGTTAGATGCACGCGATAGCTCACTAAAGCAAGATTGAATCTGCTCCAGATTTTTCATTTACATTCAGCTTATCTCGGACCAGAAGCCTATTGATTCTGGGCGAATTATGTCGTATAATTAGCGAGTTATTAATTTTTTAGTAATGGGACACAAGGTGTCACTATGGAGTAAGAGCGCTGTTTTGGGGGATACCCTAACTTTCGATCGATAAGTCTTCGGTCTCTGACCGATATTCTCGTTTTTTAGATTGATCGAAAATGTTTTTTCTGATTTTATTCTATGACTTGTAAAGTTATGCCTTTAAAACAAATTTAGCATCATTGCACATTGTAATTCAGATACATCAGATTTCCGAAACTATAGATTAGAACTATTTGACGAAGGAAAGGAATATGATAATGCTAAGGCTGTGTGTGAGGGAAGAAATGCATGGCTTGTTGAGATTAAAGATGAAGAAACTCAAGCTGCCGTGAGACTACTTACTGAGTGAGTTCATCCTATCCATATCTAACGTGTAATTTGTGCGCAGAGAGCAAATATGGGCTGCGCTATGCGTTTATGCTTGTTTCACATAATACCAAATGTAGTGTACCACGTAGGGCCAAACGTTAGTCTGAAAGGCATAGGAATTGATATAAACCAGAACAGCTGATATCGGGAACCTTAAGTTGAAAGTAAAACCAACGTTTCAAATATATATATATATATAAAGTCTATATATCCCCCTTCATGCTTGAAAAAAGTGTGTACAAAGAATGGAATATTGAGGAATAATATAATGTGAAGTGAAAACTAAACTGATTCGGTGACAAAATTATTGATATTTTATTGCGTGAAAACATGAAACTAGTTGCAAAGCTGTCTGCAGTGATACGATCATTCTATTAAATATCTGGTTAATTTTTGACGACTAATGTTGATATTCCAATTGGCGTATAGTCGGAGACTGCGGACCGGAATTACTGTTCATGCCAGATATGTAATGACTTAAGTTGACTTGTATAAAATTTATTTAAATTTTATCGCATTCCAACATGCAAAAAGTGAGTTACGCTTGGACACGTGTCAAAAATAGTCCTGTAACGAGTAGCTCTGAATTGGAGCTCTTTAAAAATGGCTGCAAACTACTTTGAATACTTGGTCCTTTTCTTGGTTAACCAATTCAGAAATTAAATGTAACTGATGTGACAATCCTTTGATTTTGTATGCAGTGCAGCATAAAATATTGTTTTCAAAAGCACATGACTATACTTCCCCTGACTATGATATTGTTATGTAGATGAAACGTGCGTATATATATCAATGATTTTTACCAACCATGTACTTATGAATTACTGTTAAGGATTAATCGAATCTCTTTATCAGACTAATCTAAAATCCGAATTTGTTTTGTCACATTTGTATTGCAGGCAATCATAGTTTATGAAGGTATAATTCGTACATTTACTTGGTGTAATTCAAGTATTTTATTTCTAAACTCGTGACATTAAACATGTGCGTGGAATTAATTTTCATTAGGTTAATCCAAACTGGAAAAGGGAGTACTTTTCGATATAACAATCAACGGTCAAAATTATTTATAGACGTTAGTTAAACTTAAAGATGTTTTTAACCGATTAACCGGTTAAATGCCCTAAGATGTAAGATCTAATGATGAATTGTGGAGTTTTTTATGATATATACATCAAAATATGCTTCGAAATTTAAATTCATTTAAAACTATGATCATGGTCATTCTTCAAAATATGTAAAAAAAAAATTACTATTTCGCACTGGAGAAGTTAGTTAGTTATTTGCTTAAAATATAGATTGCTTAATTAATTTATAAATATGAATAAAATTTGTTTAATTTACGAAATAACCCCACATACAAACGACTCGGTACAATTTTTAAAGTTGCAAAGGATTAAAGCCGATTAAAAGTGCAACATATGTTTTGAATGCCCGTGCCGGTATATATACAAATTTATCAATATTAACATAATTCTTTAGATCTTGAAAGTTTCTATTTTTGCTAGTAATAACATTTGGATTGGATTACATCATGACAGCGGATGGAAATGGAACAACATCTGTGAATTACACTACACTAAATGGTTTGTTCGATTTTGTTTTGCATGATAAAAAAACAATATGGTATCCAATAATAATCCTGTAATATTTGGAAGCATCCAGTAATCAGATCAAAAAAGAAACTTGTCCAAAGTAAAATAATTTGTTGACAACAAAGCGTGGATTAAAAATCATGTACTAGTATATCTAAGTCATTTATGTCTCGGCCTATTCTGCTGTGTTGTGTGTTGCGTCCCATTTTATGCGTCTTTTTAAATCAGCCATAATAAACCACGACAGTTGACGGGTCTCATATAGTCATGCGTGTTTTTTCTTGTCTAGTGAAATTAGAATTAAAAATATTTAAAAAGTTCAACAGAGTGTTTAGCAGACACTGTTTATTTTAGAAATAAAACTCACGTATACTCGTAAGTTAGCAAAAATAGTCTGTTCATTACTCTGAATGCATATTTCGTGATATATTCTGTAAAATAATTAGGTTGGGTGCAAAGCTTTTCTAGTTTGAACCACTATTTGCACACATATATAGTTGAAAGTGAAAAATTAAAATCTTATCAATTTTCCTAATAGTATTGTTAAACAGGTATATATATAGTATAAAACATGATTTTTATACGACGAAGACGATACAGTCTTGTAAGCATAAATGAATTTCCGTTAGGCAAAATTAACAAATACTGAAGGTATTTGCTCCGCTGAGAAATCTCTATAGATATATGACGTTTCATATTCACGGAAGCTATCTTGATTAGATCTACCTACAAAATTTAAACAAAAAAGAAATTAAAATACGTGTAGATATGTCTTCATTCAGGGCCTCCGGGCGACCTCGAGAAGTTGAAACTATATGGAATAACTTCTGTGTGGCTTCCAGATCATCTGATGAAAAATGGTTTGATTTCGATTGCAAAACTGGTTACCGATATGTGTGTCAATCGGGTATGTTTTTTATTTTAACATTAAAATTTCAATGTTTCTATTAATTTGATTTGTATGCTATATCATAACTACTTATGTTAAATGTAAAGCAAAAAAACGATATGAAAAAATTAATAATTATTCATGGTTTTAGCAAATCTCTCTTTTATTTAAAACGACAAATGAGACGTCTTGTGGACACATGTTCGGAGTTAATGCGTCAGACTGTCCGGTGGTTTTCTGATTCTGAGATGTGGTAAAATTGTCCAAAGATTAAAATTGCATTTTGTTATGACATTTTACAAACAATGCAATCAGAAGGCAATTGAATACTTTGTTAATTAAGCTGTAATTGTAGTATCCAGCCTATCATCCACTTTCAGTATAACATCGATAACAGTTGCTTGTTTCTACAAAACAGGGTTGAAATTAATTTTTACTGGTTTCTCAAGTGTCGTACAATGATGCAGTTATATACAATGTTCTTTAGTGTATAAAATTTCAATTTTCTGAAGATATTCGTAAATAATATTCTCACGGTAAAGATTTACAAATTTCTGAAAAATTACCCTTCGTTTCTTGAGATAAAATTTTTTAGTAAGCTTCGTCCAAAAGATCATGCATGGTCTATGACTAATAAGTATTGCTGTCTGTTGATTATCTTCAGTACAGAAAATTTTTCTGCAAGTTTCATTTGAATTGATGCTTTAGCAAAGCAATCGTAGCGATTAATAATTACTCCTATAAAAGTGCTCTCGACGTTTCAGGTTCCATCAGCCGCACAAGCAAAACCTACAGATAAGATGAGTTTTTATGCAAACAAGTTTTATTACGATCTCTATGTTGATCTCATACAAAAATGAAAATATTCAATTTCTGTAGTATAGAATATAAAATTGAACTAATGTTGCAAATCATCTCATTGTAGATAAATCTTGGATCATTTTCAACAATGAGTTAACTCTTCAAATTATATCAAGTCCTGTAAAAACATTTTCTGAGTCCCAACAAGCTTGTGCAAAAAACGGATCGACACTCGTAAATATAAAGACAGACGCTCTCAATTCATTCATCGACGAAAGATTGAGGTTTTCGTCTCTTTTATATATTTACAATGTAAAGAATTTCATATGAATAATGGGCGAAATATTTTTTTATTTCAACGCCACGTAAGGAATACGAAACCTATTCGACTCTATTGCTATAGCGTTTTAAACAATTTAGATTTATACATATACATCCATATGTCGTTTCCTGGCCAAAATCGTCAGTGTTTTTTTGGCATTCATGTTGTTTCTATTCGCATACTAGCTCACGCTTACATAGAACACTGAAAAAATGCTTTTAGGAACATGATTCATTGATTACGACCTCATCTTGACCCAATCAAACTTTATTCATTATTAAATATTATACCAGTGGTAATATTAAGTGATATTTCGTTGATGAGTCAGGTGATCGTCATTTTAAAATAGGCCATCTTAATGACCTATTGGTATTGCTTTTTCAAATTGATATTTGATATTAAAACTACTTATTAACTTCCCAGTGGCAACATTAATTTCTGGACAAGTGGAAGTGATTTGGAAAAAGAAGAATCTTGGAAATGGGGAGATGGGACAGCGGTAGATATCAATGATAAGAATTGGTAAATTTATTCTGTTTACTACCATTGATATTCCCGGATAGTGGGTAAACCAAAATTTGAATGACTTGTATGAAATGAACCTTATTGCACAATTAGCGCAGTTAACTATTGCATTAGTAAGTCTTTATTGGGGTTTACATAACATGAAATATTTTTTAAACTTTTATGAACCGTCGCCATTTTGGTCAAGTACAATCTCAAACCTCATCCCGCGAGATATTGCTCACTTTGAGAATCACCATTTAATATTTTCATTGTGAAACAGTGATTGGCCATTTATTGTCGGATAAGAGCACTGGTACTGGTACAAAAGGACGTGACGTGTTCATGACGTCATTTTAAGAGCCTAAATAAATCTTGAGAGGCTTTTGTTGGCATTCTACTCAACCATTACGGATATACGTTGCTAATGAGCGGAATGATCTGGGATCTGAATTTTATTTTGATGCAAATTTGAAGGACACGGATTATGATATTTTCAACAAATCTTATATGTACATATTTAGAGCATCAAAAGAACATCAAAACAAATAGGCAGTATTCTATACTTGGATCGTTAACCCTAGTACACATTAAAAATACTAAAAGTGATAAACGTGCGCATATAATAGATACCGGTGACTGTTGTGTAGTATTTCCCGAGCATCACTTAGTCTATACTGTACAATATTGTATGCACGGCAACATATTAATAATTTGCTGACAAGTGCGTTTGTCTGTCTTATTCGGACACATAAAACTGAAATACATGACGCTCAGATAGTATAACAATGCATCATATGTGCCTATTTAGCCTTATTAGACACAAAGTGGACATGACGATCGTTTCGTGGTTGCTGTATAATATTGCATTTCTAAACAACTAAAACTTCTTATTTTTTTATTTCAAATTGTCTGCTGATTGAATTTTATCGACCACCCAGTGGCTCACATTGCTCAGTTGTAAATCAAGACAACATGCTTTGTATGAATCAACGCAAATGCCAAAGCCGACCGAATTTCTATGCAGCCATGAGCCATCTCATAAATCTAATGGTCAGGGCATATTACAAGTATCAAGCATTTGGTCTAATTCCATCAAATAATCAATTTTTTAACACTACAGTTCTGAAAGTAGAATTTGATAAAATATTCTGTTATTTTACAACAGATGTATCCTCTGGTGACTGTGGTAGAGATGTCTGCTCAGACAAGGGAACATGCAAAGTCAATGGAAAGCGATACAAATGCACCTGTGATGCAGGATATGTGGGAACAAAATGCGAAAAAGGTAATCTTAAATACATTTCAGTTTAGTTTAACATTATTGAGTTGAAACATAGTTCTAATTTTGTTTTGTCATTCGAACAATTTCATTTTGCTGCTGCTGATTTACCTTTGACCTTTTTCAAACAAAATATATGAGAGATTGTGTGCATATAAAACTGTACTCCAATCCGGTATTAATAGTGGTTATATTGTTTACAGCCATTGACAGATGTTCACCATCTCCCTGTCTTAACTCGGGAACATGCATACAGGTCGGTTGTCAGAGAAAGTGCAAATGCATGTGGGGTTTTACTGGAGAAAATTGTGAAACAAGTAAGTTTTATCTTCATTTACTACTGAAAACCATCGTTCTGTCCGATCTAACAAAAATCAAGTAGAAGTATTTTCAAGAAATTGATTTTTTTACGCTTCGAACTTTTAGAAGTTTCACTTGACTATAATCTTATGTTGCAAGCGACCTCATATTCTTGTGCAATTTTAGTGCAAAAAGATGGCGAGGATTTGCGAAATGTGGGAATACGGATAGTAATAGGGTTGTGTCTAAAAATAATTGAATAAGTCGTCATCCGAAATTTGATAGCCCAGAAAATATCAATGAAATCTTATATATAGTGTTTAGGGATAGTAATTAAAAAAATCTTAAGAATAAGTACAATGATTATAAACACTCTTAAAGACATGAAATTACGTGTTTTCTGTAATACAGAAATATCACAGATTTCATGCTTCCAGTCCGGAATTTCAATTCAGTGGAATCAAGAAAAGCACAAGTTTGGAAGTGTGTACAAACTTCATTTGGAGGTGATTATTTTGTATTTGAAAATGTCATTGTTTAGTATTTTGTTGACCGTATCAGAAACCTGAGATCAAAAAAATAATTTTTCATTTGTCTGGTTAGAGTACATTACCATGAATTATTTTTCGTTATTATCCTGTTTTTTTATTTATTCGTTGATAATAATGCCAAAAAGTTTTTTAACGAACTACATTATTACAGAAATAATTTCAAATTATTTCATTTACCATTTTTGATACTCACTTTGTGGTAAAAAAATAATATCGGTAGCATGTTTTAGAACCAATAAACAAGACTTGCATCTTTGAAGTACGAGATGCAAAATTATTGGTTATTGGTCAAGTGTCGCATGTTTGAGAAGTGATGTAAAATTTAGTTGAATTCAGTCAAAAGTTTCTGTTCGCATTGAAGTCAATTCAATATTTTGACCCACTTGTTGTTGGTGTTACGAATTGAATTTTTTTCCGGTAATTCCATGTATTTAGTTTATTTCTTATATTATCATTAACACGCTTGTCTCAATAAATATTGAAATATTCAAAAAAATAATATTAATTCCCTTTTTGCTTTTTAAAAATATTTGATATTTTTGTCTAACAAATGAAGAAGGTACATAACATAAATTTATTTTAAAAAGTAGTCAATATTATTAACTTTAGTGAAAAACAAATTGACATTGTCAAACACACAACAGTCATCAATATCAGCACAATTCTTATTAATTATATCTTTTACACAGGATTTGGTGTATAAGACAAGCAAGGTAACGAACGTACACATCCTACTGACTGATGAACCATCAATAACTGTCGGGAATGTATCCGAACCGACACCGATTCATTGCGTCTCGAGCACTCGTCTTTCCATATCATCCAATAAATATATCCTTGTGGATCTATGGGTAGCTCGAATTAGAATGTCTTTGAAATCCATTGCTAAAGTCTATCTCATCTTTGATGAATCGAAGTTCAAGCTCGAATTCGTTGATTTGGCGTAAAGATAAACTTCTTTATAATTTCATTGAAACTCTTATGGGATTGCCATGATGTTGTATAAACTCTTTTTTGACATTGTTGGACTATTGTTTACAAACTTGAATTTTTATCTTAGGTCACTCAAGGTACCGGCTGTGATCAAATATCACTATTCATTATTATGAAGCCTACAATATCAACTCAATAATGTTTGATTTTTTGCACTAGAATTTTTCCATTATATATTTTCTATCATTATAACCACGGGTATGTCACCTTCACGATCTACCAAATGATTATCACAACGAAAGCAATTTTACTTTAATAAATCCATTTGAAGTGGGGATTACGGAATTTGGTGGTTAGATGTTGTTGTTTTTTGAATAATTTTCAATAATTGTCTATCTCTAGATAGAGATGTTAGTTGGACAAATCGCTAAAACCATGAGATACCATAAGCCAGGGGTGGCCAAACTTGTCACGCAAGCCCATTTATTCGGCACGCGAGCGAGGCCTCGGAAACGAGATCATTCTCCTTCAGATTAAAAGTTTCAAGACTCTGAATTATCTGATGAAACTAGGTGTTCGTTTATTCATTATCGTTTGTTAACAATTCGTTATTTATTTAATTTAAACGCTTTTTGTCCTTCCATGACATATGGCTACAAAATATATATATTATGACGTAACAAATGATTAAGCACGAGAATAGCGCAGTATTCATTTGGCTAATTCTTACGTAATAAAGTTTGTCTGTGCCACCATTTTTGCTTGATTTATGAAGTTGTACAGCTCTTGTTGGTTATAGCTACTTGCTAACTCACTGTTATAAATTGATTTCGAAAATAATATATAAGCGATTAGGGAAGGGAATACAAGAGAGAAGTGCAGAAAACGAACAATTGCGTGATTGGTATGCCATTTCCGAAATTTTTTCGTGTCTCAAAAACTTTGCAAATACACTTCTCTCCATGTTTTATCTACATATGATTGTGAATCTCTGTTCTCAGTTATAAACTTTAAGTCTCGTAACAAAAGTAGCCTAAAAGATGAAACCAGTAGTTCGTGTATTTCTTTGAAAGTTACAAAATATATCCCCCAATGTAAAATCTCTATCAGCTGTAATGCAGCAGCAGAAGTCTCACTGATATAGAATTAGAAAAGTAATCAAGTCTATGTGTCGGACTAATATTTTCCCGAATGGTGAATCTGTCTGTACATATTTAAAAGGTTTATTATTGTGTATTTTTGCTTTAAAAGTAGCAAAGCATTGTTATTACTTTTGGTCGGCACGCGGAAGAATTTTGTCCTTAAATTTAGCCGATTTTGGCACGCGAGCCAAAAAAGGTTGTCCACCCCTGCCATAAGCTAACCTTGGATATCGCTGCTCGATAA